TTTTTTTTCCAATGTAGACATTGCAGTTTAAATCTCTAGAAGTTTGGCTCTTTTTCATATCTTGTGTTTCAACTTAATATTTTCAATATTTTATCTAGCTGCTTGAACATATGATATCCAACTTTGATACTTGCTTTTACATTCTTAACTATTAGTTACATTATCTGTATCACTTCTGGTTCTGTTTGAGTTGGCTAACTTTTGTGGTTTGGGTCTTGCTTTTTGAGCACTGTTCAGCAGGATCAAAGCGATTTAGTCTACTGTTACTTTTTTCTCCATGATGGGGAGTAGAATATAACCCAGGTGACATATAATTTGGGAAACTCAAAAAAAAGTGGATACATTTGTAAAAACTGAGTGGTACAGAATTGGGATTTAGAAAACCAGCATTTAGCTCCCTACCTCCAATTTTGTGCCAGCTACACCACCCAAGTCAAGTCTCTTAACAAAAAGTGAAGAAAAATGTTAAGTGCTTTTTAAGTCTTAGGAGCTGAAGTAGATGCTTTTGTGTGTGTATGTATGTATGTGTATGTATGTAAGTGTATATATATATATATGTGTGTGTGTATACATGTGTATATGTATATATATTTACATGTATATATATGTATGTATATGTGAGAACATATTAAGTAGAAACACTATATATATACTATAAATATACTGTATATATACTATATATAAAAATATATATATTTCATTTCATTCTCAGCACAAATTTTCAGGATAAACATTTTACCAAAGAGAGCATCAGAGAGGTTAAACAGCTTGCCCTTTACCAAACAACTAGAAAATGGCAGAACAAAAATTTGAATCCAGGACTACATACTACAAATCTATTGGGCTTTCCTCTATTCTTCAGAATAATGCACAACATAGATTTTTGTTCCTTGATAAGATAGAGTAGTATGGGTTAAATATGCCCTTCTCTTTAAATAACTACAATATGGACAAAATGTATGAAACAATGTTTTTTTTTTTTAAGAGACTGGACATTAGAAAATGAAGGCAATGATTACTGAAAGACAAGAACCATATAAAATGATCCCTATGATTGTTTCAGGGGAACTCAGGATGAAAGAGCATGATGTTCTTCCAAAGGTGAGGGGGTTGAACTGGGATTCCAGGGAGACTATGGCAAATTGAGTTCAGAAGGCACAGTGCCAGAGGAAGAAATATGTACAAAGCACTTCAGAGATTTGCAGAAGATCCTCCCTCATTATTTAGCTGAGCATTAATGTCTTCTATAAGAATAAGTGAAAATCACCTGAATCTTAGAGGTAACAATCTCTGGAGGTCACACAGGGGTAGGATAAACTCCTTCCCCCCAGTTTGAGCAGAAAAACTCATACTTCACAGAGTACCAGGCAATCAGAAGGGTTGTCTCAATAATGGAGAAAAAATTAGCAGTAGACTAAACTGCTTTGATCCTGCTGAACAATAAGCTTGAAAAGTAAAACTCAAAAGATACAAGTGTTCCCAAGTTAAGTAAGCTTCATCTTAGAACAAAGCTCAATGATTTTTAGAAGAATAAAAAGTATCTGTTGCCAAATAAGGTAAAATCCACAATAGCTGGTATCCAATAAAAATTATCCAGTGTGCAAAGAAGCAAGAAAATATTGCCCATAATTAAGATAAAAAAATCAGCCAACTGAAACAAAACCAGAAGTGATACAGATAATGTAACTAATAGTTAATAACATAAAAGCAAGTATCAAAGTTGGATATCATATATTCAAGCAGCTAGAGAAAATATTGAACATATTAAGTAGAAACACAAAAGATATGAAAAAGAGAAAACTTCTAGAGATTTAATCTATAATGTCTACATTGGGAAAAAAATCACTGAATAGGACTAATGGCAAATTAGATATTGCAAAAGAAAAAAAAAAACTTAAACACATAGCAATAAAAAAACCATCCAAAATGAAATATAGAGTGAAAATTATTTTGAAAAAGTGAATTGAATACCACTGAGCTGTGAGACAGTGTTAAAGGGCCAAATATATGCCTAACTACAGCCCCGATATAGAGGGGAGAGTGGACGGAACAGAAACAATATTTGAAGAAATAAAGGGAGGAAAATAAATTTGATTACAACTCACAGATTGAACAAGTTTAATGGACTTAAGCACAAGAAACATGAAGACAATTACACCAATGTATATCCTAACTGAATTGCTCAACATCATCAATAAAGAGAATATTTTAAAAGCAACCATAGATAGAAAACACATTATGTACAGAGAAAGAAATGTAAGGACAACATCATATTTATTGTTGGAAACAATGCAAGCAAGAAGCTATTGGAACAACATCTAGAGAAGGGTGAAGGAACTTGTCAACCTAGAAATAAATATGCAAAAAAGATCTTTCAAAAAAGGAAAATATTGTTTTAAAACACAATTTTTAAACACAAAAAAGGAAAATATTGTTTTTAAACACAAATTTTTTTTATACTGCAGGAGCAGACCTGCACTACAAAAAAGTGTTAAAGGAAATCCATGTGTAGAGAAAAATGATACCAAGGGGGAAATATGGATCTATACAAAGGAAGGAAGAGCATACATAATGTATGATTCCATTTATATGAATTTCTAGAAAATGCATACTAATCTGATAAGGAGCAGATAAGTGGTTGCCTGAGAAGGAAGTGGGGAGGGGTAGGATGAAGAGATTGCATGAAGGAAGCTTTTGGGGATGGCAGGTATATTCATCTTATGATGAATGATGATGGTGATGGTTTCACAGCTGTACATATATCAAATATTGTACAACTGTATTTTTGAACTATGTGAAGGTCATTGTATGTCAATTATTATACCTCAATATAGATGTTTTAAAGAATAATGCCTAGGAAAATAGCCATACATTTGTTTGATAAAGAAGAATAAACACATTTCATAAGCAAACTTTTCTAGGTCCCTTTGTAGTTTGTAATGTACCCTTATACCTATGCATCTTACTTGATCATCTGAGTCATCAGAAAAATGGAGCTACAAATGATTACCTTGCCAAGTCACCCAGGATTGTGGAAAGAATCAAAAAGAGGATGAAATGAAAGTTCTATATAAACCATACTAAGATGCTATGATGCTATGTGTGGGTGTTCTCTGTACAGCTCCCAAAGATCCTTAAAATCCAATAATAAAGATCCTTTCTATATTCTTTTTATATTTTCTGGTCCATTTTCTAAGGAATTTTTGTTTGCTTGGTTTTTTTTGGGGGGGGAGGGGTACTGGGGATTGAACTCAGTGGCACTTGACCACTGAAGCACATCCCCAGTCCTATTTTGTATTTTATTTTGGACTAGAGTCTCACTGAGTGGCTTAGTACCTCACCCTTGCTGTGGCTGGCTTTGAACTTGGGATCTTCCTACCTTAGCCTCCAGAGCCACTGGGATTACAGAACAAGTGTGGTAGCCTGGGACAGGCTGACTGCTTGTTTGTTTTAATCACTTTCTTTTATAATGCAAGATAGCATCCATCCCTTTCAGGAGATTTCTAGCATTTTTGAACTTCCAGGGAGCAGGTTCAAGTTTAAAGGGAAAAAATTAGTTATTTTCACAAAACTGATCGCTGTTTATTTCCTTTGGCAGCACTGAAAATGTTTTTAGGTGATGGTTTTTAACAGAGCTGATTTCAGTGATGTTTAGATGGGTGCTTTCTGAGCAGTATATTGCCTTTAATGTATAACTACTCAGCGCTTTTTGAGATCTTTACATTCTTATTAAAATACTCTACTGTAGAACGCACTAAGAAAGAATAAGATCATGGCATTTGCAGGGAAATGGATGGCATTAGAGAAGATTATACTAAGTGAAGTTAGCCAATCCCCCCAAAACAAATGCTGAATGTTTTCTCTGATATAAGGGGGGGTGACTCAAAGTGGGGTAAGGGAGGAAGAGCATGGGAGGAAGATTACCTCTAGACAGAGAATAGGGGTGGGAGGGAAAAGGAGGGAGAAGGGGAATAGCAAGGATGGTGGAAGGAGACAGTCATCATTATACAAAATACATGTATGAAGATGTGAATTTGGTGTCAACATACCTTATATACAAATAGAGATATGATAAATTGTGGTATAAAGGTGTTTTAAGAATTGTAATGTGGGCTGGGACTGTGGCTCAGCAGCAAAGTGCTTGCCTAGTACGTGTGAGGCCCTGGGTTCGATCCTCAGCACCACATAAAAATAAAATAAAGATATTGTGTCCAACTACAACTAAAAAATAAATTTAAAAAAAAGGTGAAAAAAAAAAAGAATTGTAATGCAAAAAATTAAGAGAGCTCATGTAAAATGGCATAATTTTGCATGAATATACTTTATATACAGAATTACGAAAAATTGTGTTGTGAATGGATAATTATAAATGCAATGCATTCCACTATTGTCATGTATGTAAGAAATAAATAAAAAAAATACTATGGAACATTCTGGGCTAGAATTTATTTAGTGTTGGTTGGGACACAATGTATGCAGGAAAACTTGGGAGTTGATGCTGAGAGATGGAGCAGATAATCATACTACATCCAAAGAGTCTAGAGTTATCTAATAGACATTTGGGAGCTACCAAAGAGCATTTCACGAGGAAGGTGGGAAGTAAAGTGAATTTTCCATCTCTCAAAGCTATAGTGGGTAACATTAAGACTGTATTTTAGCTGCTACAGATGTAAATACTCTGATCCCCAATTTCTGCCTTGTGCTCAGTAGGCACAGTCTTCACATCTGAACACCTACCAGATAGATAAAGGGCTTTGTCCACCATGTATTCCTCAGCGAAGCGAATGTGACAGAAGTTCTTTTTGCTCTTCCGGATAGCAATGATCTCTCCACACTGTTCAAACACTTCCACAATGATCTGCTCAGTTCCATTTTCAGGCAGACCTCCCACAAATACAGTTTTACATCCTGGTGGTCTTTCTCGGGTTGCAGGAGGTGGGAGATCTAAGTGTAAGAGCAAAAGCATTTGAAATTAAAATGTTTGCCTGAGATAGACCTCTTTAAAACTTAACATTTCTCAGAGATAGCTCTACTGTCCCCAACAAACTTTTGCCTAGGATTGCCAGAAGTATGTGGTCTCCACAATGCTCATCTCTCCCCCATATAAAATTGATTGCATGACCCTGAAAATAATTTTATTCAAAGATTCTGTGACCATGTTGTCTAGAGGAGAAATACACAGACCCATCCAGGGATCTGTTCCATCCAGAGCTGTTTAGTTTTGTTCATTACTTTTGCTGTGATAAGCCTGCTATGCCAATTCAGTCATTTTTATTAAGAAAATAGTAGAGGGAAGTCCCACTCAGTTTAAATTCTTACTTTCAGGAGTTCTCCGAACCAAGGCCCCTGAGGAAGGGTTTGGATTAGTTACTATATTCTGTTTATGCTTGCTGAAAGAACTGTGTTATGGTTTGAATATAAGGTAAAATGATTGAAATGTGAAAGTTGTAACCTAGTCAGTTCACTGTAGGCAGGTGAGTTATGGCTGAAGGAGGTGGGTCACTGGGGGCATGTCCTGGAAGAGCTCATCTTCCCTGAAGCCCCTTCCCTTCTCTCTCTGCTTCCTGGCTGCCATGAGTGGAGCAGCAGTCCTCTACTTTACCCTTTGACCATGATGTTCTGCTTCACCTTGGGCCCAAAGAATGAGCCGACCATAGAACATCTGAAACCCTGACCCAAAATAAACTATTCTTCCTCTAAATTGTTCTTGACAGGGATTTTGGTCACAGTGATGAGAAGTTGAATATAAACTGCTTCAGGATTGATATGACAATGATGGGGTGAATATTTACAAATGTGTTTGTAACTGTTGGAATAATTTAGTTACATCAATCAGTCAAAAATACAAAACTATATATCTTAGTTTATATATATATATATATATATATATAGTGTGTGTGTGTGTGTAAAAAAATATATATATATATTCTTAGTGTATGTATTCTTAGTGCGTGTGTGTGTGTGTGTGTGTGTGTGTTTTCTTTGCTGGAGGAGTGAGGTCCAGATCCAATCTTGCAGCATTTAGAGGGAAGTATGAAAGACAGCAGAGAGAATAAGCTCATCTGGGAAATCATTAACTAAAGTGAGATAAATTTGGCCATGGAGAGTCATTAAAAACCTACTTAATGAGATGATTTTCCCTCTGCTTAAAAAAACATGCTTTCTTCTCACTCATACATAAATCCTGTGTTTCTGCCAGCTCCTTGTTAGTATTTATATGTATCAAAGCATTTTCTAAGCAAAATCCCATACTCATAGCCCAACAAAACAAAGCATGATGGTCATGGGTTTTCTAATGTTGGTTTTGTATCTTCAAGGACTTATTTTGTGTAATCCATTCTTTCCATTATTCCCTAACAACAATTCTGCCAGCTCAAGATTTGTAGAGCTCAACAACCAGTGATTAGAGTTTACATGCAAAAATAAATGAGGATGGCTTATAGATTAGGTCAAGGATCCCACCTGACTCTTATCCAAGTAGGTAAGCAGTTGATTTGGGAGCTTTCTTGGGTATTAGCATCTCTAGCTTTCTCACTTTGTTATGGCTCTCTGTTTTACCAGTGTGATTAAGAAATCTTAGTTTCTACTGAGGTCCTCTTTCTCTCTATAAAGGTGATAATGAAATTCAGGGAACTTATAAACTGTTAATTTTTAAACATATATAATTTCAAGAGCTCATTTTGTTGTTGTTGTCTGTTTTTCTATCTGCAAAAATTTAGAGGGAATGAGAAAACAATCTAGTGAGAAAGAATATGAAATGACTTAGTATGGTCACTATGTGAGGTTGTGTTTTTAGCCAAAAGGGGGACAATGAGGACCAGAATTGCTTGAGAGTTATGCTTTTGAATGTTAAAAGGGTTGGAAAGAATTCTAGCCACCATGGTTCTGGCTATCATTAGCTCTAGCAGCACAATAGAATCTACTTGGGAGTTAAACAATGCCTGTGCCCCACCCCAATGAGTTTGAATTAATTACTCCAGGGTACATACTATGCATTAGGTTTTTTTGTTGTTGCTGTTGGTGGTTTTTAAGCATTGCAGGCAGTTCTTTTATGTAACTAGGGTTGAAAACTCTGACTTAGTCTAAATTTCTAATATTATAGTGAAAAACCTTGGCTGAACCAAGTTATGGTTCATTTAAGGGCACTACATTAGATGGAAAGGGAAAGAACATGAACTTAGAGCAGGTAAACTCATCATCTATATCTTCAGAAAATTACATAGACTCTGAAAAAAGTTTTTTTTATCTTTAAAATAGGGATACTATTCCCAAGAGTTATTGTAGGATAATTGAGATTACACTATTTATATTGCATGTAGTATGATGCCTAGTATTTGAAAGATTCCAAATAAATAGTAGTCATTAAAATGTTACTATTTAGAATCATAGAACCCAGGTTTCCTAATTCTCAATCTGGGGCTAAGACCCTACACATGTCTGAAATATAGTGGTAGCTAAGACCTGGATTTCTACTCTCCCAGTCCCCTTGCTTAGACATTTAGACAAGGTTTGGTTTGAATAGGAATCATTCATATGGAATTAATGGAAAGAGGAATCTACAGCTGTGAAGACACACATAGTTTTGACCATGTAATAAAATACAGGCACTGTATATACATAGGTAAAGAAATTTCAAGAGCATCTGTGTAGTTAGAGATGTGTTTTCAATCCAAAGACTTTAGAATAAAGTCCTGTTTTAGAATAAAAAGCCTTTTGATGTTTACTTTTAAAGGACTGGATGGCAAAGAATTCTTTGGTAAAGCAAAAATCATCTTTTTATGTTGTTTGAGTTTACTCCAGTCTACCTTTCAATCCATTGAGAGACTCTAACAAAATGTGGTTAGTGCTATAGTTGTGTGCAACACTGAAAATGCAAAGGCTCCTTCCTCTGACTACATTTGTGGGTTTAAAACTTCTGTGATGAAGTTATCACCCTATTTAGATACTATGATTCTTCAGTGGTAACTGCTAAGTAAAGGGTCATAAAATCCACTACGAGTAATGTCAAGAATGCCAGGGATTTATTTATTTTCCTTGGCTAAATGTAGAAAGCCTCTTTGATAACATTTGCTGAGATTTAGGTGTATGTCACCAAACAAGGCAATGGCTGTACTATCTTCCTTAATGGATAGTACCTGTTCCTTAATTAACAACTCAAAGCACTTTGTTGTCTGGGCCTGATTTTTCTAATCCCATTGAAATACCGTGATCTACCTCGGATGATAACCCCTTTGGAAAGCAAATTCAGACTCCACTCATTCATCAAGTTACATGCTAAGCTTTGTAGCACCTCAATCACCACTCAGGATGGAGACCAAGAAAACGTCCATGTAAAAAGATTCAAGATAACTGAAGAGTATAAAAAACTAATCTCTGATAATGGAAAAAGAGAAGCTTCTAGCAATTCTAATTACCAACCCCTCTGTGCAGCTGTGTTGGGACAATCAGCATTAGGATCAGAGTCACTGCTGATCTCTGAGAAGTGAGCGAGGCACAGTATAGAGGATCTATAAACTACTTGCATCTTGCTTTTCAATGGAGCATCACAGATCACTCGGCTGGTTTGCTAGAATTTATATGATGCAAAGTCTCTGAGTTGATTTTATTAGATAGCCCAATATTGAAGGCCCCCAAGATAATCAACAGGGGTCAGATGCATTTTAATGTAATCTAAACTGATTGAAAATAATCTGAAGGATTGTAAATTGTTATTAATGATCAATTTACCCATTTTCTCTAATTCTCTTTATAGAACTCAGCCCTGAGAGCCCAAATGGGATCTGCCTATTTTGATATGTTAAAATGAAAAATGAAACAAAATTATTTTTCTGGCTCTTGAGTGTTTTCCAATGTGCCTGGGCTAAGATAACAGATGATATTCCATCATTCATTCCCCATCCACTGTTATTTCTAGTAGACTCAAACTATAACTTCTCCATACAAAATGTCTAGCAGCTGAAGTGAAAAACCTTGGCAAAATTGAGTTTTATATAGAGATGGTGTTGTTGTCCTGTCATACTGCAAAGAACTGCTAATTGGGAACTCAGTATCTCTGATACCCACCCTATGAAAAATAAAGTGTGTTCCAGAGAGTTTGTTTTTGCCATACCTCCAAATCCTGGGAATCAGAACAATGGGATACTTACTCACTATTTATCTTTACAAGACTAGGCTGTTCTGCTCCTGTCGAATATGACACACTGAATTTTTAGACTAGGTCTCATTTTACCTAGTTTGGATCAGAGAGGTCAAGCTACTTACCAAAAATTTTATGGTTATGCATTGGTGGAGAACCACACCTGTGTTACTTTAAAGTTTTAGCACTGGCTATCCTGCCTGTTCCAGTGAAGGTACAATGCCAACCAAATTGCTCCTGCTTTTCCTAATACACATTGAAGGGTTTTGCCCAGGTACATAGTTATAATAGTGCTCCATTTTTAATGTGCATAATCATAATTTTAGAACTGGGTAAAGCCTTAGAGGTATCTAAGCTAATCTAACCCAATATCCTTGTTTTATCGATGAGGAAAATGAGACACAAGAGAGCATATGACTGGTAAAGATACCATAGCTAATTAGGATTAGAACATAATTCTCTTGATTTATAATCTTGTACCATACTGTCATACCATTTTGGTACATTTGATGTAGATTCACCTAATAAAGTCTAATAGGTAGAGTCTAAAGCTCTGAAGAGAAATATAGACTGAAAATATAGATTTAGAAGTCATCACATGCAGTAGTAATCACCCCCCTACTTTCTTGGCTTGCTTTCTACTCTTTCTGTCACTATCCATTATCTATCCACCCATCCCTCCTGCTATCATTCACAAATACAGAGACATAAAACAATTTAAAGGACTAAGATGTGCCTATTGGATTTAGCATCATTTTAATGACAAGGTACTAGTGTAATTCACCACAGATTTTACTTTCAGTACCATCCATGCAGAAGTGTTCCAGGAGAGCATATACTTGGAGTTGGGTTGGATGGGAGTGTAAGGAGTATGAGGTCAGAAGCATTTGAACCTGACTAAAGGGTGGGTATGTGGCAAGTAGAATGATGGACTGAAGACAGTCACATGAAGCAAAAGAGTGAAAAGTTGTTTTTTTTCTTTGGGGGTGGGGTACCAGGGATTGAACTCAGGGGCATCTGACCATTGAGCCACATCCCTAGCCCTATTTTGTATTTATTTAGAGACGGGGTCTCACTGAGTAGCTTAGTGCCTCGCTTTTGCTGAGGCTGGCTTTGAACTCGAGATTCTCCTGTCTCAGCCCCTTGAGCTGCTGGGATTACAGGCGTGCACCACTTCACCCAGCTCAGTAAAAGGTTTTAAAGGTCAGGAAAGGGGACTATGAATCTGTGAACAATGAGAGCCCCAAGACAACTTTAAGGTTCTGTATGTGACTAGTATTTGGATGAAGTGTCACGTGGGACAAGGGGAAGGAATTGATGACAATGATACTTTTTAACAAGGCAACAAGACTTAGAAGCAGACTGGATGGTAAATAAAGAGACTGACAAAGTCTCTAAATCATAGGATTTATTGCTAGGAGGAACTTTAGAGTCGGAAGCCATTGAGTGCAAGATTCTATACCAGAGACAGGCAGGAATAAGTAGTTCAGTCATACCAACTCCCTGTTTTTGTCTCACCTTCACAAAGATCAGTTTTGGCACTGTTAACACAAATGGCACTTTTACCATGCATTCAAACAAAGAACTAAGGAAGGTGCCTCAGTTTTCCCCCACACAATTAAACAGAGCCCCCTTAAAAAAATTCAAACTCTAAAAAGCAAATAGAATACCAGTCTACTTTAAGCTTTGTCAGGAATGTTATTTTTGAATTTAGTTCCAAAGCCAGGTTCCTTCCCAGAAGCCACTCTTTTACTGGCACTAATTGCCCTGTCAGCATCCTTAGTATAAAGGATGAAGAACTAAAGAATTGAGTTGTGAGGATACTTCCCTCTCACTCTTCGGTCCTTCCAACTCAGAACTGAGAAGGCATGGCTGGGGGTAGAGAAAGATAAAAAAGTGTATTTGAGAGATTTCTGCCTATTTCTTTTACTAAAGACTATGAAGTTGTAGCCTCTTTAAGCTATATATTTTGACATGCATTGAAAGACTGCTTAATGATTGATCTATGTGATATAAAAACAAGGCGTGTGTGTTATTCTTTGGCATTTTAGAATGAGAACATCCTTAAAGTCATCTATTGCACCCAACCAGGGCATCATAGGTTGTGAGCCCTCCTGTTAGCTTAGACTTGACTGAAGTAATGAAAGCGGAGTGCAAGACAATTATGTGATACATGAATGATTAAATCAGCAGAATTCTACCTTTTCATGAGCATGAGGTTTTAAAACTGGAAATTCCTAAATTCTTGGCTTTTAACATGAAAATGGTACTATTAAAAATGTGAAGCTTCCTCGATGCCAAACACAACACATTGGAAGAAAGAGAAGAAAAATCATTGCACATATATAGAAAACAGTGGAACTAAGATTTTAAAAAGTAGTGCTTACTCACCTAGGTACTAAGCAAAAATCTAATTGAACTGGCAAGTAAGGCCTACAAGGGACATCACATTCTCCATTCCTTAACTTTCCTTGTGACACACTAACTCTTCTCCTAATACAGTCCTCTGAGATGCAGGTCTCCTATATTTCTTATTGGTCTGGAAGGATGTGCATGTTGACAATCAATTTCCAAAATCAGAAAGCATTAAGATCATTTGTTCACTCACAAAAGTAGCCAGGAAGATCCATGCAACCAACCCTGACTGATTCTAAAACTTTCTCAGTTATAAGCAGATCATTCTAAGTAGAATCTGGGTCCTTACCAGGGCTTGATTTATGATTAACTGATTCCTATTTAAGGTAGGGGATTAAGTATTTGACTGAGGTCCCACATAAAAGGTTTGTATTTATTTTTATAAGGCAATTTAATTTGATCTGTGGTTTAAACCCCTGAGTGAGTCCCTTGACAAACAGTGCTAGTGTTTGCATTATAGCAGCATCACTACAACTATGGACAAAGCATTAAGAGGCTTCAGTCATGTGCAGAAGCAGCTTCTAATCATTTAAAGTATATAAAACCCCAGTGGATCTGGAAAAATAATTCCAAGTCAATTAATATTGCTGGTACATTTTAACTAAAATATGGCCACCCTACCATTAGAAATATGTTAAGGTGAGTCTAAGGAGAAGCCTATTCTTTGAGGACAGATTTCTAGATCACTTCTACATGAACTATATTGCCCCAGATGGCAACAAGTAATCTTAGTCCAAACATTGGTCTTAGCCCTTCCAATAAGTTGAACTAGGGAGTGATATTGGACAAATTGTATTGCTATATTGTATGCACGTATGAATATGTAACAACAAATCCCATCATTATGTACAACTATAAAGCACCAATAAAAAGTGGAAAAAATAAAATAAGTTGAATTGTACCTCACAGTGCATTGTAGCCCAGATGATGAATAGTAGTAGTTGGAGTGATGTGTGACTAGCTAGTAGCAATGGAAGATTCTTAGTGCCAAGTACATATTCTCATGTGCTTTAGGTAGGCTCAGACCACTCTCAATTTCTGCCACCACTGGCACACAGGTTAGTTATGAAACACAGAGACTACAAGTGATAGTGTTGATCAATTTGTGTCATGTGTTTCATTCTCTATGAATACACTTGAATTTCTTACCAAATGGCATTAGAAAATGTTATATCACTTGTACTGCAACCAGCACACAAAAATATACCAAATAAAATTCAGCCTTGAATAGTCAGAGAAAACTTTCCTGCTTTCTGTTTTCTAGGTGAATCTTCTATATATACATCTATGAAGCCCTTGGGTAATCTTTTGAAAAAGAAGAAAGCTTTCTTATATACACTGACTTAAGTAGGAAAAAACAATAGTACTTGGGTTGGGAGGGAAGAGCGTGCAGCTTTTGCAGTGTATGATTTCTTTTACTACTGGCATATCTGGAGGAATTGGTGGAGGTACTATTCCCAAACCAGGCATCATTGGAGTTATTGGCGGAATTCCAGTCATCATTCCAAGAGCAGGATCAAAATCTAAAATTGGAGAGGAAAGAAAAAACAATAAGTTAACATGAGGCAAGGTCAACCAGAGGAACATGGTTACCTCATAAGCTTCAAATCAAAAGTCTTTCTATGACAGAGGCAAAATATTTTTTAAAAAACCATATGCTTAGTATTCTCAATTCTCAAATATTATATTAAATTTGTGCATTTTCCTTTCAGGATAGGGCTGTTGTCTTCTTTAATCAGGGCTTCTTGAATTCTCTACATCGAATTTTGATACCCAACATCTTTTATAATGTGACTGCATCTTGTTTCCTGATCTTGCTTCTATAGTTTCCAACACACAGCCTCATCTCCATTATGGAAAGGCTTCTTGCTGTCCATTATACATATGTTCTTTTTACAGTACAGCATTGTATTAAGAGCACAGTTTGGGGGATTAGACAGACTTGGGTTCTTGTTCTACAATTTTCCTAGCTGCAAAACAGGGTTCATACCTTCTACCTTATAGGGAGTTGTGAGGAGTAAATAAAGTGATAAATGCAATGTGCTTAGCACAGTGCATAGCACAAAAGGCTGAATAAGAACTATCCTCTATGCCTTTGTTCATGTTGTTTTTCCTGCCTAGAATCAGTTGAGTCTACCAGAAGCCCTGCCTCCCATGCTTCAACTGCTAGCTTAAGTCTCCTTGAAGAGGCCTTTTCAGATAATTCTAGTTCTTAACCTCAGATCTAAAATCTGTTCTACAACTATTTCCACTGTCTTATTTTACTTTACATTGTCTTTTGTTTCATTCAGGGATGTCTCTAGCAAGTGTGAGGGTGAGCAGAGAAAAATATTTTTCTTTGGGACTCATCAATGTATATAATTTGATTCACCTCACATCAGCATTGACAACATTCTGTTGGCACAGTTTCATGTGATACCATGAAAGAAATGCCATTTCATACAGCTGGAGTGATTTACTTGCCAGATATTCTCCTGGAACCAAGACTCTGGGTGGATTCTCTGATCATGAGTCCTGAGGCTTCTTAGGGGCATCTAGTTGACTCCATCTGTGCAGAAGAGGAGTGGAAAGTTCCCTAAAGGGAAGCCATGGGTAGAGGGATCCATAGGGGTCTAGATGAAGATTAGGGCTCCTCACTCAGATGACACTCAGATGAAAATTTAGAAAATTTCAAGTGAGATGCTTCTTATGGCCAGAACAAAGGCAGGACATGTTCTGGACTTGGGCACCTGCCTTATTGGCATTGCTGCCTGGCCAGAGGCCAGCACTACAGGGTGTGCTTGTTAAATATTGAGATAATCAAGGTAAGTCTTCCAAAGCATGGGGTCCTCTGAGGTATGGGCCTAGTGTGGGGCCTTACTTGCCTACATCTAAAGGCAGTACTGATTTCATTATTTAACTTTGTTTCTATATAAAAATGTCATTTTCTTTGAGAGAAGGGAGTGCATTCTACTTCTTTGTTTTCCCACCTCCCACACTTGTCCTCACTATATAACCTTGCATAGTCTATGGCAAACAAATAAAGTATTATATAAGCAGCTTTGGTAATACAGGAGTAGTTGCAATAATAATAGCAGGCTCTGCTCCTAATGATTTTACCATGCTCACAGCACAAGTCAGAGGGGCAATCCCTGTAAGGATGTCCTCAAGGTGGCTCTGGAGACCTTGGGGGATCCTTAAGATACCGGAAGAGGTGAACCTAAAGAGCAGGAAGAACTAGTTCCCACCGAAGCAGCACTTCAGGTCTAACAGGCCTAGTAGAAGGGGTCCTGTGTCTGGGAGGATGGGCAAGTGGGTGGCACATGGGCATTCCTGACTGCAGTCATTCCAATCAAGCTAAAGCATCTCTCATCCTCACATGTCTGCCATTCTGAGAGATCAAGACCATAGAAAAGTTTAGGAAGAAAAATGTATCTCCCAAGAGAAATTTTTATTTTCATGAAAACATTTACTTTTAGCCTTAATCTGCCATCTCACCCAACATGTTTTTATGTTTATACATAACACACACACACACACACACACACACACACACACACATACACACACTTCCTCTTTCTCCTTTAGCTCTCATAATTCTACTCCCTCCACAAAGTAGTTATGTGACCTTTGAGGAAAATTTCTTAATATTTATGTTCTTCCATTTCTTTTTGGTAAAACTGGGGATAAACAATGACATTTAGCCCAAAAGGTGAAAAGAGAGTACAGATAAAGACCCTCAGCATGATAGTCCTGATTGGTGAGTTTCATTCCTTCCATTCAAAATGTACAAAATGTTAGAAATTCACTGATTCAGACATTCATTTTCACATTGCACAAACATCTGTGATAGGCCTCTGTTAAGATTTGGATATGAAGTATCCCCCAAAGGCTCATGCATTGAAAACCTGATCCCCAAAGTAGCAATGTTCAGAGGTAGAGCTTTTGGGAAGTGATTGTATCCTCAAGGCTCTGACCTCATCAGTGGATTATTCCACTGAGGGATTAATAATGTGATGGCATCATGGAGAGTTGATGGAAACTATATGCAGGTAGGGCATGTTTGGAGGAAGAAGGTCCCTTGGGGCATGTCGTTGGGAACTATATCTTATCCCTGGCCCCTTCCTCCCTCCAGCCTGCTTCCCAGCTTCCAAGAACTGAACAGCTCTCCTGCACCACACCTTTCCACCAGGCTATTCTGTCTCACCACAGGCCCAAAGCAATAGAGCCAGTCAACCATGAATTGAAACCTTTGAAACCGTGAGCTCAAATAAACTTTTCCTCCCTTAAATTGTTTGTCACAGGGACTAAATTGATCACAGGAACTAAAGCTGACTAACATAGCCTCCTATATGTCAGGCTCTATATTAGGGCTGGGGAAGGTATGTAGGTTTTTGGAGAACATAAGGCTCTGCTGTGCTATAGAATGCATTGGTTCAGAATGCCATTCACATCTTTGGAAAATCTGATTCCTTGTGCAGAAGATTTTGGAGAAATTGTTAACATTATCTTACCCATTTACAAACTGTTAATTTTTGTTGGGAAAAAGATAATATGAGATTGCGTGCCAACTAAACAATCCCATCTATTTTCCTCTTCCTACTGAAATGTTTGTCTTCCTTTTATTGTTCTGCCTGCCTCCTCATTGTTATTCATATAGTTCTGTCAGTCACAACTCTACCTTACCACAGATTACAGAAACATTACTTCATTAAACAAGTTCTGCCACTTCGACTGAGAAGGAAATGCCTGTCTCCATGTACTATCTACTAATAAATGGAGACAAACAAAAAAAACCAAATATATAGGATAAATATAACTCCTCCTTGGTATACTCACCACTCTGCTGTTTGTTATGATTACATTAATATTTTATAAATTCATTTAAAAGCAAATGTATTCATGACATATGGCTAAAGCCAGAGTATATGAACTCCCTTTCTTCCCTTTGTTCCATATGCCACAAATTCCATAGGCTCCACTGCCCAGTAGGGTTTGTTACTGGGTTGTACATGACATTTCAAAGGCTCCTATCACATGGATCACTTCTTTTGTTTGTATTTAACCACTAGGTACCAAAATGGACATGGATATCCAATGCCAATCAAATTAAAAAACTGAAATCATGAGCCTTTTAAAAAATACTTTTAGCTATAGATGACACAATACCTTTATTTTATTAATTTATTTTTTATGTGGTACTGAGGATTGAACCAAGTATCTCACACATGCTGGTTAAGTGCTCCACAACTGAGCTACAACCCCAGCTCATCATGGGCATTATATAAGTATTTCATAACCTGAAGAATAAGAGTCCAAATTAAAACACACTGGGTATACAACACAAAAGAAATTCTCTCCCTTTTCTTGGCCCCAGGCCTGGCTTGAGGAGTATTGCCCAATAGTCGGTACTATTGCCATTTATATTAGGAATTCAAACTTCTGAAGGAGATTGGAAAGTATATAAAAGAGTTGTGCAAAATGCCATGGTTTTCCTCCAAAGTCCTTTTCACAATAAATACCCTGTTCTGTTTTGCTTTTATTGTATCTTCTTTTAAACCTTCTTTCCCACTGCCTTCTTGTCTTTAGACCTGGCCATTGCTGGAGGAGTCATGGATTATTGGTTTGTGTTCCCTCTTCAGAATCATGTATTTCCCAAAGTTCCAGCCTATTGGAAATGCTGCAGATGTCCTGTATTAGTTTGGCCAGCTATATCCTCAGAGTTACACTTTTACTTTGTGATTTTAAGACATGTTTCAGTGTACTCTCAAGCCTACTTGCTACCTAGCAACTCATGCTTACTTAACCTGGCAATATTATCCTCCATTTCTGTACCTATCTGAGCCATGGAGTTGCAGTGGAGAAAAATGTCATTTCTGTGCTGCTATCCAGTCATTCAAATATCCATGTATATAATATTTTGATGCCAAGACCTGTGCAAGTTGTTGGGTTTGAAGAAATGAATAAGACAAAATTCTTGATTTCATATTCCAGTTTGGAAGTATCCAAGCAAAGATTTAAAATGCTTTATCATCAATTATTATCATCATGATAACTATTATTAAATGTTTACAATGTGTTAGGCACTCTACTAATAATTTTATACAATCTAATTCCACTTGACCTGTGACTAGGTACCCTTCACATTATAGATGGAGAAAATTGGGCCTTAGAGAGATTGGTTACTTTATCAAGTTAATACAGTCAGTAAGAGAACTAGGATTCAAATTCAGCTTGGTCTAACTCTAATGCTCTTTAACCACTAATGCTGTTTCTCAATACAGTATGTAGTTCTCAGAGGGAAAGCTTTCAATTTTCCTCCATTTAGAATGATGTTGGCCTTTACAATGTTGAGGTATGTTCCTATTATCCCTAGTTTATCTAGTGTTTTGAACATGAAGAGGTGTTGTATTTTGTTAAATATTCCACTTTTTTCATTTTTGACCTGTTGTTTTTCTCTTGTAGCCTTTTAAATTCTACCCTTATTCTGTATGTTAGGCATTTTCATAATAATGTGCCTTATGTGGGTCTATTGTAATTTTGT